TCTCACTCTCTCTCTCACACACACACATACACACACACACACACACAAACTCTCTCTCACACACACATACACGCACACACACACACGCACACACACACGCACACACACACGCTCGCACCCACACACACACACACACACACACACACACACACACACACACACACACACACACACACACACACACACACACACACACACACACACACACACACACAAAGTATTTTATAACAGGTTTATATCAAAGTTATTGTGAAGCAACCTTTATGCCTGGAAATGCATTTACATGTGTACAATTAAAATGATTAATTAATCAGCTTGTTTGTCAACCGAGCTATTTGATCTGCCGAGCCTGTTTTACTGTGGTCCATAAATACATCTGTCAGTACTCAAATGAACAGCAAAGCATGGTGGTTTTACATAGAAGGTTGAGTAATATTTTTCATGATTTACATGACATTTCTAATTTCTAGAACTGATTATGAAATGTTGTTATGTTTTGGATATCTGTGCTATGCTCATAAATTACCATTACTGTATATACAGTAGCTACTATTATAGTAAATCAGGTTGTGCACCATTCACAATTGACAACTGATTTGAAGCCTAAATGGAAATTTGTATTGAGTTTATATATTTCATTATATTTAAATAAACCTTTAGACCAGGGTGGAAGAACTGATATAATGTGAACATTTCATTTCCCAGAATGTATCACTTGGACTGTCATTCTGATTCATATACATTCATATACAATACAACCGGTTAATTCAGTACTATAAAATGACAAGTATTTGTTTGTATTCATCATGTAAGAGGTTTAATAGCTGTAATATTCAGTTTCAGGCAGGTCACCATGTCATGTTCAGTAATTGTTTTGTTAATTAAATGGTTGTTCAAGCTAGTATCATACTGTACATACATATGAATGTAAATATAAATATATTAAGAGTTGTGTTGGAACACAACTGAAACACACCTTTCAGCCATAGTTTTAATACACTAACTGCTATCCTTCTGGGTAGTAATAAAACGGTGAAACATTTTGGGATATTATGCATTTGTTTATATACAAATAAGAGGCATATTTATATACAAATTTTATATACAGTATATATATATATATATATATACACTGCCGCTCAAAAGTTTGGCGTCAGTAAGACTTGTAATGTTTTTTAAGGAAGCCTCTTCTGCTCATCAAGGCTGCATTTATTTGATCAAAAATACAGAAAAAAACTGCAATCTTGCAAAATGTTATTACAATATAAAATAATGGATTCTATTTTAATATCCTTTAAAATATAATTTATTTCTGAGATGCAAAGCTGATTACTCCAGTAAAAAGTCTCACACGATCCTTCAGAAATCATTGTAATATGCTGATTTATTATTCGAATTATCAATGTTGGCAACTGTTGTGCTGCCAAATATAAATTTTTTGGAAACTGCGATACTTTTTCAGGATTCTTTGATGAATAAAAAGCCAAAAAGAAGAGCATTTATTCAAAATATAAATATTTTCTAACAATATAAATCTTTGCTATCACTTCTTAACAATTAAACACATCCTTGCTGAATAAAAGTTTTAATTTCTTTCGAAGCCTCTTCTGCTCATCAAGGCTGCATTTATTTGATCAAAAATACAGAAAAAAACAGCAATCTTGCAAAATGTTATTACAATATAAAATAATGGTTTCTCTTTTAATATCCTTTAAAATATAATTTATTTCTGAGATGCAAAGCTGATTACTCCAGTATAAAGTCTCACATGATCCTTCAGAAATCATTGTAATATGCTGATTTATTATTCGAATTATCAATGTTGGCAACTGTTGTGCTGCCAAATATAAATTTTTTGGAAACTGCGATACTTTTTCAGGATTCTTTGATGAATAAAAAGCCAAAAAGAAGAGCATTTATTCAAAATATAAATATTTTCTAACAATATAAATCTTTGCTATCACTTCTTAACAATTAAACACATCCTTGCTGAATAAAAGTTTTAATTTCTTTCAAAAAAAGAAAGAATAAAAATTTACTGACCCCAAACTTTTGAACGGTAGTGTATATTGTTAGAAAAGATCTCTGTTTTAAATAAATGCTCTTCTTTTTAACTTTTTATTCATCAAAGAATCCTGAAAAAAAATATCACAGGTTCCAAAAGAACATTAAGCAGCACAACAGTTTCCAGCACTGATAATAAATCAGCATATTAGAATGATTTCTGAAGGATAATGTGACACTGAAGACTGGAGTAATGATGCTGAAAATTCACCTTTGCCATCACAGGAATAAATTATATTTTAAAGTATATTAAAATAGAAGACATTATTTTATATTGTATTATCATTTTGCAAGATTAGTTTTTTTCTGTATTTTTGATCAAATAAATGCAGCCTTGATGAGCAGAAGAGGCTTCTTTAAAAAACATTACAACCCGATCTCACGAAAGTGCGTATAAATAGTACGCCAAATAAAAACGAAAACTCGTGGTATTGATACGCAAAAATGGACTTTGGCGTGTATATACTACGCGATGGGTAGGTTTAGGGTTGTGGGGTAGATGCGTATCATATGCACGCCAACAAATTTCATATCATATGCACGCGAAAGCTGCATATTATATGCACACTAAACACATGCGTATCATATGCACGCCAAAGTCCATTTTTGCGTATCAATACCACAAGTTTTCGTTTTTATTTGGCGTGCTATTTATACGTATTTTCATGAGACCGGGCTCTGTATACATAATTTGTCTATGTGCATGTAGTGTTGTGATCAGTTTGTACACCTTGCATTCCATCAAAAGATGACCATCAATTCAAAAAGCATTCACTGATAACTGTCTGGAGCTATTGAAGCAATGTGGCAGTCAATCCACATGCATTTATTTTAAATGAGCACCTCAAGGTGACTTTTATGAGGAATCTTAGCCAAGCGTGTTATTGGTTCAACAATTTTGGCAATGTCACCATTGCGTCTCTCTCTGCTTTGAGCTCTCTCTATGAATGTTTCTGAAAGTGTGAATATGTGTACTGTTCTCTGACAGTCCCATAAACATTTCTTTCTTCTGTATTTCAACTAGATGATTCCAAACGCTTGTGTTCTAATGATAAATATACTACTAGCTAAATGTAGTAGTGTAAATCATGTAGATCTTAAAATGCTTGTATAATGAGTCTTGGGGCGTTGTGGGGGTTTCTTAATTGATTACAGTTCTGTGGTCACTGGTAATTAACCAGAAAGTAAACGCCATTAAAACGTAGATTCATTATGTCATAGGCCTTATTTAATCTTCATAGGCTTTATTTATCTTTGGAGATTTTGATCTTTAGATTAAAGCAAATAGGCATATATTTGCCTATAATAAAAGTATCAGGTTTAATGGCAAGCTTTGTTTGCTATTTTACTAGTCTACTAGACTATACTACCCTGTATGGGTACTCTTTGGATAGTCTTGTAACAGATGTGAAGCATTTTCAAGGTCAAAGAAGTCAATTGAAAATTAAATCCACTAATCTGAACTTGATACAAAATCAGGGTAAAAAGTAGAGGAGATTGAGTACCTAATGAACATTGCTTATGACCTTTCTAAGTGCATCTGTGGTTGAAGACAGACCTCAATGAGACCACAATGACCCATTAGCTTCCAAAATGAAAGAGGGGAGATTGAGATATCTCAGGTTGTTTTGCTTCTTAAGTAGGCATATTTTCTGAGATTTACTGTTCTCCCTGTCTGACAAATTCTCTTTATTTTTTAGGTCTATTGAAGGACTCCTTTTATTTATCCAAAATAATGCATCATCTGTTCTACACTGGGAAAAAAATATTTTCTAAATCAGTATTGTTGTCTTGTTTTCCGGAAAAAATTTTTTTTTCTAGTACCTTGCAATGACCTTGGTTTAGTCATTTAATTAACTACTTCAAATTTGCTGCATAAGACCACTCGGTATGTGTAAGATGTAAGATGGCTTGCCTCTAAGGCTGCCTGCTTCCTTTAGTGTTTTCCTGACACGGTGTGGCTGAGGTCCTGTTAGGATGAGAGACACAGATGCAGAGGTGTGGGATAGTAACACACACATACTGTACACACACACGCTCTCACTGGGTCGTCCTCACTGAGCACGCTCAAAACTGTAGGCAGGATAATCAGGGAAATTTAACCACCATTATAAATAAAACACAATTATGGCACAAAATCACAGGGAAGGTGTGAAAAGAGACATATCGTATTAATCCATGTCACAGTGATTACAAAAACACTTCGGCTGAGTGAAAATGAAACTGCAAACATTAAAATTTTGCAAAATAATAAACAAGTAGAGGCAGGAGACATATAGTGTGAATGCGTTATGCAAGACACTGTATTATGGTTGCTTTTTTTAGAGCATTTACTGGTTCATGGCAAATTAAATGGTCACACTCTCTCTTTTCTCACGTTTGCTTCTGGCTGCATTGAAATTCAAGCCTCATAATGTAATTGTGACATCTCCTTTACATAGAAATGCTAATGCAATACTGATGAATTCAGTGACATTTGTTTGATTAACTTTTTAACCTACTTTATGGAAATTCAGCATTGCCCTCTAAGCTCTCACACTCAAAACTGACAACATTTTAAATTTTTGGGTGCTTGAGTGTGACGTGTAAACTCACAGGAAAGGGAAATTACAAATGAGATTTCTTTAATATCTCTAGACAGCAATAAGATTAAAATGAGAGCAAATGGAAAATTTTACTTATGCCTCCAGATTCTCATATACGTTTCCTTTAGAGGAATAACCTATAATCTTAAATGTGACCCCTCCAGCTGTGTCTCAGGCTGATCAGATTTGCCAAGATACCAAAATTTGCAAGATAATAATAATCAATAATCAATAATCTAACATGCTATATATAACCCCAAATATGTTTATGTATGACATTTGTTTTCATTTTTTTTCCTACAAAGAAAAAAATCTGAGACGACAGTTGATAGCTACATAACTGATAATTCCAAAAAAAAAAAAAAAAATCTCCTGAACTATAACGGATATCTGAACCATAGACATTTTTTCTAGGGACAATGCTGCTGAACCAATGAAATCAATATAAGAGACACAAAGCCATACAGATGAATGCTTAAGTAAAGATACAATGAGCTCAAACTGAATGAATGTCTTCACGTTTTATACATATCTCGAGGACAAAGTGCAGAGGGTTCACAGTGCACAAATGTGCTGGTTTCAGTCTTATCTATAGTAATATGTCTGCTCTTTTTATCAATGCAGAAATCATTTTCTTAATCTGGATTTTTTTTTTTGTCCAAACATCCTTCTCTAGTATAATATAAGCATAAGATTTTTTTACCAAGTAAATATTTATTAAATATGTATGTGTGTAATTATTTTATTGGCAAATATTTTTTAAACCTCACTGTATTTTGTTATTTTTATGCATGCGTGGGGAAAAAAATTATTAATAATTTGCCAGTTGGGTATGAAAAATAATGAAAAACAATACTGAACATTCTTAGCAAGAAAAGTATAATTCTTATCTATAGTAATATGTCTGCTCTTTTTATCAATGCAGAAATCATTTTCTTAATCTGGATTTTTTTTTTTGTCCAAACATCCTTCTCTAGTATAATATAAGCATAAGATTTTTTTACCAAGTAAATATTTATTAAATATGTATGTGTGTAATTATTTTATTGGCAAATATTTTTTAAACCTCACTGTATTTTGTTATTTTTATGCATGCATGGGAAAAAAAAATTATTAATAATTTGCCAGTTGGGTATGAAAAATAATGAAAAACAATACTGAACATTCTTAGCAAGAAAAGTATAAATTTTTTTTGCAGGAATGTCATTGGTGGTTAAAAATCAATTTCTTAATGTACATGATAATATTCTGCATATTTGAAAATCTAGCTCTGCAGTTTGTCATGGCTATGATATGCTGACTATGATTTTGCCAAGTAGGACATGCTCCCAAATGAAAAATCGAAATGGTAGGTTGATCGTACTGTTGCTCTATCACCAACAAGAAATGAAAGGACATGCCCTACTTGGCAAAATCACAGAAAGCAGTATAATAGACAAACATAATGTTTGTTTCTGTTTATTATGGCTACCAATATTTTGTACTTTAGTTCAATTGTATAAATGTTCTGAGGAACTCTGATGCAGTTGCTGTTAGCAAGAAAAGTATAAATTTTTTTTGCAGGAATGTCATTGGTGGTTAAAAATCAATTTCTTAATGTACATGATAATATTCTGCATATTTGAAAATCTAGCTCTGCAGTTTGTCATGGCTATGATATGCTGACTATGATTTTGCCAAGTAGGACATGCTCCCAAATGAAAAATCGAAATGGTAGGTTGATCGTACTGTTGCTCTATCACCAACAAGAAATGAAAGGACCATAATGTTTGTTTCTGTTTATTATGGCTACCAATATTTTGTACTTTAGTTCAATTGTATAAATGTTCTGAGGAACTCTGATGCAGTTGCTTAGAAAGTGAGTATGTGAATCACTGATCTAAGTTGTTCTTAGAATTATACTGTTGCATTGACCAGTCATGTGACTGAGGCTCCAGGGCAAAAAAGAGGACACTAGACTATTCCACAGGCATGAGGGGAATGATTCCCAACAGAATCTCAGTCACAGCACTGGGGAACACAGTGGTCTTTGAATCTTGTCTTGAAAGTGAGTGAAGCTTCACCCTTCACTCACATCGCACAGTCCTCTGCGCTCGACTCCTCTTTTAATGACCACAGCTTTCCAACAGTAAAGGGAACTAGAGAAGTTTGTTACCAGTCATGAACTATGTATATATTATATGTTTATACACAGTGTTGATTTTAATGGCTTATTGTACATGTGCCATAATTTTCTGTTATCTGTGGCAGTGTCAGTTTAATCCTGATGTCTTTTACCTTTAGAAAAATCGTTATTGTCATCACAATATTCTTGCCATTCAATGTAATTGGTGGTAATGCATGTTCTCCTGTGCTTTTTTTGTCTTTTTTATTTCCGTTTTACTGTTTTGTAAACCGGTGGCTCTCAGCTGGCGGGACTTCTGGTGCAAATTAGACAGCTAGCAAAATGAAGACAGACACGAGCATGAAATGTTGCCTGACATTCTTTCATCCAAAAACACATTGATAAAAGCTACACAAGGTAAAAGAAATATGAATTATTTTTCGTTTTTATGGATATTTCTGTTTACTTTTGTGGGGTAGACCATTTTTAAAACAGTTTTGGGTCTTCGTGTCCATTATAAAATTTGGGTTCAGCTTCACCCTTCACTCACATCGCACAGTCCTCTGCGCTCGACTCCTCTTTTAATGACCACAGCTTTCCAACAGTAAAGGGAACTAGAGAAGTTTGTTACCAGTCATGAACTATGTATATATTATATGTTTATACACAGTGTTGATTTTAATGGCTTATTGTACATGTGCCATAATTTTCTGTTATCTGTGGCAGTGTCAGTTTAATCCTGATGTCTTTTACCTTTAGAAAAATCGTTATTGTCATCACAATATTCTTGCCATTCAATGTAATTGGTGGTAATGCATGTTCTCCTGTGCTTTTTTTGTCTTTTTTATTTCCGTTTTACTGTTTTGTAAACCGGTGGCTCTCAGCTGGCGGGACTTCTGGTGCAAATTAGACAGCTAGCAAAATGAAGACAGACACGAGCATGAAATGTTGCCTGACATTCTTTCATCCAAAAAACACATTGATAAAAGCTACACAAGGTAAAAGAAATATGAATTATTTTTCGTTTTTATGGATATTTCTGTTTACTTTTGTGGGGTAGACCATTTTTAAAACAGTTTTGGGTCTTTGTGTCCATTATAAAATTTGGGTTCTGAAGCAAAACCAGTTGAGAACCACCCTTATAGACCACCTGAAGGCAAATGGTAAAGACTCTGTAAATGCAAGGCTGTGTTAAGATGGGCCAAAGCGCCAACTTCCTCCCCATGATTCCGCATCGCCATTTCTCCAGGCTTAGCTGTGCATTGAGAGGGAAATTAAAGTATATATTCCTTCTCCTGTAAAGAACGTGAGAAATCTGCAACATAGAATACTTCATTAATATTCTACAGGTGAAATATCATTGTTTTGCTCAATGCATTTAATGAAAAAAGAATCAAATCATTCTGCATGGCAAAGAGGAGTTGCCGTTCAATACCACACAGTTAATAAACGAAGTCACGCTTCAGTGCTTTCAAAGCATAGTTATCGATGTTAGAATAAAATTAATTGATTGAAGAGAATAATTTGAGGCTTATTGAAAGCAATATCGCAAAGTAGACACCAACACATGGAGGTTGGATATCATAGGGTGGAAGGGAGCAATTGGCACAAAGCTTATTGATGTCATGCTGGCTCAAATAAAATTATGGTTTAAAGTCTCTCAAATAATATACAGTCCACATTTTTTAATTAAAAAGTTTAGTATATTTTTGTTCTGAGAATTTCAGATTATTGTTAATATTTTCTCACGTCTTTGCTGCATGCGCATGATTTTTTTGAAGCATTTTGCACTTAGAATAAAAATGGTGTTCATTCCCTTTATGTTATTGTAGTTCTGATGAAATCAGAGCTGCAAGCATTTTGATGATGCCATACTGTTTTATACCCCTCACGTCAAGCCCATACTATGATATGAGGTCTGATTTATGATGTTTATGATTAACTTAGCCTACATATTTTTTAATATAACGGGTAAGAAGATATCTTTGTCTCTTGAGCTTAAATTAGATTCATGTTGCATTTCAATGTACAACAACATTTGGAACTACAAATTACTTAATTTGAAAACAATATTTGAAGCTATTATTATTATTTATCTTTTTTTAAATGTCTGGCCTTACAAATGCGTTATTTTGTAATGTGTATGTTTAATTTAGAGACCAAAATAAACCATTATTTTATGCACAGGAATATGAAAGATGAACACTTTTGTACATTCTGGTGACACAACACCTTTTTTTCTTTTTTAATATGCACTGTTAACTGTTGTTCCTTAAAAGCAAAAGCCTTATTTTAATTAACAGATCTAAATATTTAAACAGGATAAATATACTCGAAGAAAATTGGGTATTAAGATTTTCAAAGAATGTATCTTGAATTATAATTATTATTAGTTTTACCCCATTTGCAAATGTTTTTCTTGTTTTAATCAGAAATGTAAGAAAATTTAGTGAACTATGGTCAAAACAGGAGATTATACTCTTTGCTAGTGGTTTAGATGCATTCTTTCAAAACCAGTCTGACTTTGTTCTTTTTTTAAATTTATAGTTATAAGTAAATTTATCTTGTTTGTAGGTGTTTAGATATTACTAATGGGAAGCAAGACAAAAATTCTGATTAATCTTTCTTTGTGGTGCATAGAGAAATATTAATGGCACAGTTGTACATTGGCACAGAGGTGATTGAAGTAAATGCAAAACCCAATCAGATGTCTGAAATCTGAAGCAATCACTTTTTTATTACCATAAAGCACAGTGCAATCTGCTTTCAAAGTGAACTTAGTTCCACAATTCACTCTGCCATTATGATAAAGTCAAAGGTGTAGTGTCACACTGAATGGAATGCATGACAGTCTAGAGGAAGTGATGTTGTGTTCATGACAGACAGATTACATGGTTCAGTAAATTTGCATGTCCGAATGAATGTTTGAGATGAGAGTGACAGTTGCTCCCTGTTCGCATGCAGGAAAACACACACGCACACACAAAAACTGGCATTAGCACTGAACTGCAGGCAGAGAGTCTTTACCAGGTGGTAAACAGGGGTCGTCACAGTATAATGTATGGGCTTTTTATTGGATGGCAACAGGATGACACATGGTGATGGACAGGGTGGAAAAAGGAGGGAAACTTATTAGAAATAAGTAAATGTAAATGTGACTCCTAATGTGGGGTGGTGCAATCATGTAGTGAACTACATGACAATGAAAGTCTAATGTTTCCTTTTTTGAAATACTTTCAAAAATGGGTTAATGTGTTTGTGTTCTAGAGCTTGTGATGGAATGAATTGTGAATGAGATGTGATCTCAATGACAGTGATAAATCCAGCTAAACAATTAAAAAAATTTAAACAGTTGAAGAGTTCAAAATGGTCATTATGGAACTACTGACACACGGAGGAACAGATGACTGCAACTTCAAGCAATTTAGCACCAAAACAGTCATTCTATCATCTTCCTCGCATCAACAATGGATTCTAATGTATCATCAGGTGGTAATACAAGGTAAAATAATGTCCTACAAGGACTTTTCTCTGACACCACATGAATGAAGCGGTGGCTGATAGCAGCCTGGCCAAAGGGACACCCTATCTATCCTTGTCACTGTCAATGCTATCAGGAGCCAGTCAATATCCTCCCGCTCTTTTTAGAAGCCTTGCAAGTTTGCCCTGTGGCACTGCTGATAAACTTCCAGCAAGAAAACGAGCTCAGAGCTTTATCGCGTCGTAAAGACTCGTCCAAGCATCCAATTACACCTCATCTGAGTCCTGTTTTACTTTAAGCCAAGAGTTAATGAATAATATAAAGCCCTCAATCAGGTAGCCAATAAAATAATCGACTGCTGCATCCAACCTATAATCTCTTCAGGAAAACTGTTCCAAAATAACTCTCCAACGAAGGGACCAAGATAAGAGAGCTGAACCTACCTTCAAGACCCTTGCTGTCGAGCAGGTCAAACATAATGACCGCCACGGCCGACCAGGTTACGATGAGAGCCAGCACGAGGATCCAGGCCATGGGGGAGTTGAACGTAGTGTGCAGGTCATCGGTTAAGGTGCGTTTGGACGAACGTGTGGGATGTGCGCTCAGGTCATTCTTAGCCTCGACTATGGTAGTCGTAGTGGTGGAGGACCGCGCTGTAGGGACAGATGGAGGTTCAGAAATGTATGAATGCAAACAAGACAGGTACAAAACAGGTTAAACCATAAGGAACCATTCTAATTGGTTCAAGCTGGTAATTTATGGTAAGTATCAGGTCCAGTTTCAGTTTGTAGTCACTGGTGGAGTTGACATCTTGGTTGTGTTAGAGCCCAAATGGTTAGTGTTTGAACCAATATCAAACCAGGTATGATGAACACTTTAAAGGAGTAGTTTACCATAAAATAGAAATTATGTCAGTTCCTCTTTATGTTTTGACTTTATTTGATCAAAATATTCATCATATAAATTGATTGCGCCACTTCAACAATATACCTGCAATATACAATTCATGGATTAATTTCATATTATCTTTGTTCTTCTTGGAGTTTAAAAGGTTTGGGTCTGACTGACTTTAATAGTAGTGAGAAAACAGATGAAAATGTTTAAAATAATGAGGGTGAGTAAATGCTGAGAATATTTTGTGTGAACTACTTGAATCAGATGATTGGCTACTATTAACTTCCTTAACCATCTGATATGTTGTTGCTCCCAGAAATAAGGCATCAGCTGTTGATAGTTTACAAACATAGTTTATTTTGTCTGCATAGAGCATCTACAGACAAAATAAAGGGTATTTTGTCTGCACATTTCAAACAGCAAGTAAAATGAGCCGCAGTGGCTGCAACTTTAATTTCTACAGTATTTTACACTAATTTCTGTGGGATGGAAACGATGCCTTGTTTTCTAATATGTTGGAGATAGTATGATTTTTCACAAACATATTGTCTGGAAACAAAGCTTTTGATCCTCAAATATATTCAGGGAATCTGTTTACTGTATGCACATAACATTAAAAGGTATCTAGTTCTGTCATGTTGCTCACTCTCTGTGCAGAAAGGACATAAGAGTTATGAAGACAAAGACAGCAGATGAATGTTTGCTTTTTGTCTTTATCAATGCATTGCCTGGCAGAGAGATTGAATTGAACTTGTTGTCTGTAGATAGGGCACACATCTGCAATGGCAATGCTTCATAGTTAAAACATCTCCAAGGCCACATGAGGAATGCTGGTGCTGTGCCATCTGTTGGCCAGAGCCCCTTTAAAAGCCTCTTTTCTAAATTGATATAAATTCTTGCAGCAGCTCAGTCTGAATTGCTGCTCAGAGTCCAAACATACACCACACATAACCTTTATATATGCCGCTACGCTTACGAGACCCCTTGATTGATCTTTGCCAATATTGCTGACTTAAATCATTGTAAATGATTGAGCAAGCCGTTGTGATTGTGTTTACGGAAATTAATTTGTGGATGATCCATTGTGAATCTGAGCCCAGATCAAGGCAGTGGTTCTTATTTCTGTTGCCCAGAGATCCAACGTTTTTCACTGGCTCCACTTTTGCTTGAACATAATGACGTGTCTGTGTGTTCAGGGGTTTCGTCTCACGCCGAAAGTGTCAGCTGAGACCACCTGTTGCAACTCTTCACATTTGTCCATGTTGTCAAATTTAGGATTACACGTCCCATCCAAATGCTGACTCAAGAAGCTTCCTGTAGACACCATATGTTTAGCTGCATCTGGTTTGGAGTAATGCTGCATCTTTCTGTATTAACATGACTTCGCCCTTGCAGATTGTCTACAAGCTTGAGTATCTGATTGTACAGAAACATAAGATCGCAGATAGTGTACACAAAAGGCTTAGGAGAAATCTTTCCATGGCAACACAGTGCGCAAATGCCACTTCAACTCGCGTTGCACTGTAAACCGAAAGTGGCGGAAGGTGGCACAGAAAATGGCCCTTTTCTCATTGCGTATTTTAATATGAGACCTTGTCCTCCTCAGATCCGTGTGTGGATATCCATGGAAACTAATCCCAGGTTAGTAAGTGAGAGCTGTTGAGACAATGAAGTCAGCATAAAAAGCACTCTGCACCGCTATTCCCTCAAGTGTCACTTTAAATATGATTTATTCAGGCTGATCTGAGAGACTTTTCACAGTTTAATCAGAATATCAAATGTACTTTTAAGTCTTTGCAGCATTAAGCCATTTCACGCAAGACTGGGGCTCATTTATGCAAGCCCTTGACGTCAATAATTGGCTTTTTTTGGAATTCTATCTCAAGTTACTGATAATGACTCTAAAAAGGTTTCAACATTTTTAAACACACTCCTTTTTGGTTTGGAAACTAACAGGGTTTAAATGTCTTGGGAACATCTTTGAGAATACCACATTTCTAAATCTAGGAGTTAAATGGCTCAACTATCAATAAATATGTTTTGAAAAAAAAACTGGAACTTTAAGTCACGTGAACCACTTTTGTGGCTCCTGAAAAGCTTCAGTCCCCATTGAAAGCTTACTGTAACTTTATTCCAAGTTTTCAAAAGTCATACTATAACTGTGAAACAGACTGGAGTTGTTGTTCACTGATTATCTTGACAGCTGCTGCTCTTGAGAGAAGTAGTGATGGTTGATTTGTAAATCAATCATTGTTTTAAGTCAAATCTTTTCAGTGAGTGATTTATTCATGAATCAATCTAGTCCAAATCTTAAACCAAAACCATTTACTCAGTGATCTCACTGCAATGACGTGAGAAGAATGTACTAGTAGCATGGACCTCTTTTATGGTGCATTTGTGTCCTTTTTAAAGCTTCAGTCACTGTTCATTGTAATTGTTCATTGTAATTTCTTCTGTGGAAGACAAATGGTGAAATCGTCATACGGGTTGGGGACGGCTTGAGGGTAAGTAAATTACTTCAAGAACTGTTTGAAATGTAAATTTAAAATACTTTTTAAATAAAAAATGTTGGGTGAACTATTCCTTTAAATATATTTCCTCTCTAGCTGATTGAACTGTATTTCAGTTGATAACACTAAAACCCGTAAAAAGCTGCAACAACATCAGAGGCCTGCTTCAAAGGACTACAGATTCCCATAGAGCCATATGATATGGTGTATTTTTAGCAGCTTTCAACCATAAAATTCCCCTGCAAAGCAGATGGTTGCTGTCTAAGAGACCGTTAACTTGACTAAGTTAAAGTACAATACTTGACTGTATACTGTTAGTAGCATAATTTACATTACATACACTAACATTTGTTTGAATTACACCTTATTGTTAAATGCACTTAGAAATGTAACTGGAAAATGAATTTGACTGTACCTTCCATCTCTCTCATGCACTAACAGGCTGAAAACACAATCTCAAGAGTCAATTCCCCAGTCCGGAATATTTTTCCGATCGAAAGCACCACAATGGCTCTCTGTGCCTTTCCTGTTAGAGTCCCAATAAAACCTGCGCTTGTGCCAGGGCCCCCTACAAGGAAGCAAAAACAAAATGGCACCTGTTGCTTAAATTGGCATAGGAAAAAAACTATACACTTCCAGCTGGGACCAAGTACCAGCAGGAAGGGAAAACAACAAGGCTAGGCTGTCAAAAGAGCAAATCAAGCCCTAGGTTGTCCTTATGTTTGTTACCAGCCCATGATGTGTGTGTGGGTCAGGAGACATGGGAGAGAGGGGAGGACGGGTTTCAAGGTTACCTTATCTGTGACTGGACTGTGTGGTTTATTCTTAGAGTCCCCGGCAGCAACGGCATTATGTTTTGCCTTTTTAGGCCAGGGGAGTTACCCCTGAAGAGGAGCTGGGCTGTCATCGCGTGAGTGTGCAGAAGGCAACCACACACATGAAAACGCATCTCTGAAATGTGTGTTTCGATCCATTTTAGCACCATTATCTGCTAATTTACATAATGAAATATTGCATGTTATATGTCAAAAGCATGATATACTGCATATAGATCTCTTTAATGGAGATTTTTAGCTAAGACTGGGAAGCAGTAGTGAAGCAAATGAATGCGTGTGAGAAACGGAGCCCTTGATAAACTCAGGTTAAGCTGTTTATAGTGGCTTGTTAAATATTCATGCAAATCTAGCGATACCTTTTTCATAAACCATGCAAATGGAACATTTAGAAAGTTGACCTTTAAAGAGCAAATTGCATTTTATTCTTTCAGCTGTACCTTCTCCATATTTCAGGGAATAAGGAAACGCTTGAGATGTCAGAACATGAGTGTGCTTTTAGGATTGTATGAAATTGCTTGACAAGCACAGGTTTCGTTCTTATGTTAAAAGGTCTTATTGAAACAGGAAGTTGGGATGTCACTTATTTTTCAGAAATGGCCAATTGGCTTTAGTTGTGTTTAGCCTTTTTTTTTTTTTTTGTAGACAGACATTCTCTTTCTTTGCTATTGCTAATATTTTATTGGACAAAACTTTGGATATAACCACAAGTGCTAGAGGAGTTATCAGTATTTTTATTTATTTATTTTCGCAGAAAAATTTATATCTAGCTGTTAAAAGATTGTTTCTCAACTTCTAGTACAGTAGCACATAGGTGACATTAAAGGTAACACATGGAATATACAGGTGCATCTCAATAAATTAGAATGTCGTGGAAAAGTTCATTTATTTCAGTAATTCAACTCAAATTGTGAAACTTGTGTATTAAATAAATTCAATGCACACAGACTGAAGTAGTTTAAGTCGTTGGTTCTTTTAATTGTGATGATTTTGGCTCACATTTAACAAAAACCCACCAATTCAACCAACATCAACAAATAATTAAAAGAACCAAAAACTTAAACTACTTCAGTCTGTGTGCATTGAATTTATTTAATACACGAGTTTCACAATTTGAGTTGAATTACTGAAATAAATGAACTTTTCCACGACATTCTAATTTATTGAGATGCACCTGTATGCTACAATACTTCCATTTTGAGTTAATCTCCAATTGTAAAGCTAAATTTTGAGGAATGTTAAACACTAAAGTTACACTACACTTATATACACATACACACATATACTAAAATCTCTTGCAAATGTCTCAATCTCAATCATCCCACAATAGCAGCAGTGGCCTCAGCCAATGGTTTGAGTTTATTGACTAAAAAAGCCAAATAATAGGCAAAACATTACTACATTACCAATAAAAGTTTATATTTTTTCTTATTCCTTTTATTGGAAGACCCATATTCATGAAGACAAACTTGCATCTTTAGTCTCGTCCCTTTAGATCATAGTATACAACAGAAGCTTTGCATTTCTCACCCACTCATCTGCATTGCTGTCGTAGTCAGTCAACCCTTTTGCAGGTCAAGATGAAACATGCAGGTCTGATGAAATCGGGTGCAATGAGGAGGAAAAATGACTGGCATTGTGATGCGAATCACAGGTGTTTTTTTTCGTATGCTCGTGTGTTTGTGTGTGCGTGCGAAGCCCACGCTGGGAGAAGGTTGACGCAGACACATTCTGTCCTGTTTAGTGCACCGCTATGTCACCTCAGGGTTCAATCCTAGCTCGTCGTCTCTGAACAGCTATCACATAAAAGACACTGCGATGACATCTGTGACCTCCTTATCTCTCAATAGCAGGGTTTTATATCAGCCAGATTTACATCTAAATGCTGCCGCTCTGAATAGCTTCTCAAGTCCCTGAAATGAGACAAGACTTTGCCAAGGGTCTGAATAAACTATCTGTATCTCTATCTATGGTGCAAAGGTGAGAAAAAAAGCATTGTGTTTTGCAGATGGCTCAATCAGCAGTGCTCTGAATGCCACATGCTAAAAGTGGAAGCTGGATAAATAGTCATTGCATTAAATAAGCAAAACAACCAATTGAAGATTAGGAACAGACATAGAAAAACAAATCAAGGTTTAGTTGTTTTTAAGGAAGGGAACTGAGAATAATTCAACAGTTTTGGTTCGGTTTCCTCTTAAAGATTCCAGTTTCCTCACTGTTTCATTAACTTTTCTTTTGTTTCACTAAAAAGGACAGACTTATAGAAGAAGTTTGTTTGGAAATCGTACTACACTGGTTGTGATACGTTTTTTTTATACACTAAAAAGAACCGACTCATAGGAGTCATTCATTTGGGGATCGAATTATATTGGTTGCATTGTATGTTTCGGATAGCTATCCGATCGTGAAAAGCCCAGGTGTAAATGCCCTCCGAAATACTTTTGAGACTGATTTAAATCCGATCGCTCAAACCACTTCAGGAGGTGGTCACATTCCAGACGAAACTGGACAAGTGTAAATGCTTCTGGTTGTTGAAACCACATAGGGGAATTTTACTCCTCCCAAAATGTAAAAAAAAATAATAATAATTTTTGAGAGCGTGTAATAGGCTATATGATATGTTATAGCCAGATATGACAGCACTAATGCAACACACATTGCAGTGGATGAGTAGCTGAGTATCTCTTCAGCAAGCCGTAAGCAAGCAAACTACCGCAAATGAAACTGAAACTAAGACGCAGACGCTCAACATAATAATCTTTATTAAAAGTAGTGAAACTATCTTTTCAGTGCTGATGCCGCACTCTCTCCTATTGCAGTCATTGATCTTGAATTTAGCTGATAATGAATAAAATGCAGCCAATATCTGTTGCTTTTGATGATGTAAACTCGGATCAGATTTATATCCGTTTTGCGAAGACGAATTTATGTGGCCAAGTGTAAATGGAAATGTTTTAACAAATAAGATAGATATCCAATTTGCGAAAATGCATAAAGTGAACAGGTGTAAACTGGTCCATTAATTTGGGAATCGGACTACACTGGTTGCGCTGTATATTTTTGATCCACTAAAAACTAGTGACTCTGTTTGTAAATTGGACTCTACTAGTTGCACTGCTTGGTTTGTGATCTACTAAAAAGGACCTACTTGTTGGAGTTATTATTTGGAAAATTGGACTCTAATAGTTGTGCTACATGCTTTTGATCCACTAAAAAAGAACCAACTCCTAGGAGTCATTTGTTTGGAAATCGGACAAAAATCACCAAAAGTATCTCATAATCGGACAATATCATTTGTGTTGTAGACAGTGTTCTAGTCCCATCGAATAAGCAGTGCAGAAAACACATCATTGCCGTCATTTACTTCAGCTATTTTTATATTGGAACCTGTTCTGAATAAGAACTTGTTTTCAAGGGGTTGTAAAACGGCTGTAATGATTTAACAAAATCAGCAGTCCATGCAGAACTAAAAACTGCTGAGCGACATAATGCAGTCACAGCCAATCAGAGGATCTCTGATGTAAAATATATTTCCATGTGGAGCTAGATGTTGGACCAATGAGGTTTTGTTGACTTGGATGCGGTAATAAAAACAAAAATTCTGATTTACTTTACAGATTTGTTGTTGGGTAATATTTTGGGAATGTGTCAAGGGTAACACAGTATCAGTGATATAAGGCGGATAACTAGTCAACAGCTTATAAAGCTTACTGTGTTTCTTTGAAAAGCTTTGTGAAAGATATGTAGATTTAGGGGGGGGGGGGGGGGGGGTTATAGAGCTGTTCATAGTCCTAAACGCTGTAAGAGAATTAGCATTATTGAGCCGTGGGTTTCCTTCTAGAGTTTTGAATGGGATTTTAGCATAGCGGTTTTCAGTTTAATAAATGAAATAGGTCTGTGGTTAACATTACTTGAAGAGACTTTAACATTATGTTCTTAAATTACACCAGTCACACCTCATATGTTAATTGTTAATGAAAATGTTGTGTTTTCCAAAAACCAGATGCTACATTCACAATGTTAATTACATTATTATAATTTTTTTAAAGAAAGAAATAATTTAATTCAGATAGGGTGCATTAAAGGGTTAGTTCACCTAAAAATTTAAATTCTGTCATTAATTACTCGCCCACATGCATCCCGTCAGCTCTCTGACCCTCCCATAGACAGCAATTGTCCTTTCATGATCAAGGTCCAGAAACAGATGTCACATGGATTATTTTACCTATGTCCTTGCTATGTTTCTGGGCCTTGATCATGTAAGGATCCTTGCTGTCAATGGGAGGGTCAGAGAGCTCTCAGAATTCATCAAAAACGATCTATCTTAATTTGTGTTCCGAAGATGAACGGAGGTCTTACGGGTTTGGAACGACATGAGGGTGAGTAATTAATGACAGAATTTTCCTTTTTGGGTGAACTATCCCTTTAAATTGATCAATAGTGATAGTAAAGATATTTATAAGTTTTTCTAAAAAATTATTAAGCATCACTGTTTTCATCAGTGATAATAATAAGAAATGTTTCTTGAGCTCCAAATCAGCATATTGGAATGATTTCTGAAGGATCGTGTGAAGACTGCTGTAAATTCATCTTTGCAGGTCACAGCTGATCGTCATGAGTCTAGTCAGGTCACAGCTGATCTTCATGAGTCGGGTCAAGTCACAGCTGATCGTCATGAGTCGGGTCAAGTCACAGTTGATCGTCATGAGTCAAGTCAAGTCTCAGCTGAGCTGCCAGAGCCTCGTTACATCACAGCTGATCTTCTAGAGTCTCGCCACGCCTCAGCTGCTCGTCCAGAGTCTCGTCACGTCTCAACTGTTCGTCCAGAGTCACGTCACGCCTCAGTTATTCATCCAGAATCACATTGCATCACAGCTGATCATTCACCCTGCATTGCAGACGTTCTTCTGGCGTTCATTCGTTTTCAAAGCT